ATGAGTTTAATTGAAAAACAAGAAATTAAATGTTTATGACACTTAAATCCAATTTGCATAATAATTTGGAACGCGGTGTATATTCTACATGTAATTTATGAGCATATATGTGCATCACTCAACACACGAGGAGGCTTTGCTGGCTACAAATAAAGACGGGTAATTTTAATTCTCCCCAAATATATTGAGGCTGAACTTGCAGCTTGGGGGCCTCCCAGTAGCTGCGGGGGGCCTCCCAATAGCAGCTTGGGGGCCTCCCAGTAGCTGCGGGGGGCCCATGCATCGGCATAGTTCGCATATAGCAAGAAACGGCTCTGTCTGACACGTCAGGAATAAAATAAACATTAGCTTATTAATAACCACCAACAATTGAACTCAGCTGTGCTGATAATGTTCACAGAGTGTGACAAATGGTGATATCAGTTCTGACACTGATGAAGTTGTTAACAATGTCAACACTAACAGTGATAAACTAGTTGTCCTATTAATACAATAAACATGTCAACATGTCCTGTCTCTCTGCATCCTGGACCCAGAGGTGTCCCAGGAAGTTTATAGAATAAAAACAGTACGTCATAATGAGCCATTTATTTAAAGACTTGCAGCAAAGAGACCAAAGCTCATGGCTCTAAGAACTACAGAATCCTTTAGAGAAACAACAGGAGACCGTTTGAAAAATGTCTTATCTCTGAGTCACAGTCACAGAACTCCATGGGTGTGTCTCATACTATTTCTGAGCTCAGTGGGAAATTAAACTCTGTTACTCTTTTTTTTGAAATATGGACAGATACTCATAAATGAACCCAGAGTAAAGTTAGTGCTTGTAGCTCTTTATATGTCCTGATGTCCCCTCCTTCCTTTCAGGAGCAAAACCACAGAACAATCTGTTCAGGTTCTATTCTAACTTCTCTATTTCTACTTTTCTACTGCATCACTGGTACAAACACAAACACAGTTAGTGTTAATGCTGAGAGATAAGACACAGTGTGTTAATGGTCTAAAAGGTCTTCAGTGTTTATTCGTTTTCTGATTATTGTTTCATTGATTGATTATGTTGAGTGGTAAAGTGATAAGCTTGAAACACATCTTGATGTTTTTATCACAGTGCAAAAAAAAAAATGACAGTCAGAATCTATAATAAATGATCAATAAGTGAAGAGACTTCTGCTTGTATCAATGAATGTTCAGGGACTTCTTTTTATTGTTTTGTTTTTGTATTTGTTCTTTTTGTTGTTGCTTTATTTTGTATGAAACATGAATTTGGCTCTGGTCACATGACTTACATTCTTCAGACTGATGTTACAGAGTCCGGTCTGGTGCGGTTGTTGCCAGACCATCAAACCGAATCATGCTCATGAACTTAATATTGATTATAATACCAAGTGATTAGTGAAGAGGGGCCTTTAATACTAGTCCCGCCCCCCTGCCACCAGCAGGCCTGTACCTCTGCAGCAAAACGAGCGCTCCTTATGTAATGCGTGACGGCGCTAAAAACAGACTCCATACGCACAGAGCGGTGGTTAGACAACTGTCTTCTCCGTGTTATGTCACTTCCACCAGGGCAACAGAGGAGTGCACCGCGGCGGGAACAGGACCTCTTCGCGTGGGACAAATAAAACAGGTAAGGAGGCGGCGATGTGTCCTCTCTCTGCTCTAGAGATCGACGCTGAGTCCGGGTAAACGTCCGCAACAAACCGCTTCCGTACATCTGTAGTCTCTATGGATCCAGCAACGGAGATCTCCTGTTTTCAAGGATGAAAGAGAGTCTGTCAATAACATCAATGTTATTCCGCAGGTTTTTTTTTTGTTTTGTTTTTGTTTTGTTTTTTTCACATCAGGCTTATATGTCTCAGACACCGGACAGGTGTCGACGGCTGGTTCACACCTCTTTCATCACCTGCCTCCACCACCACTGTGTAACCTGCGCTGTTGTTATAGCAGCATTCATTTCAATCCGCTGTCTGTCTGCTCAGCTGAATGCCACCGAAGAGACATTTAAAATACCATAATGTCCACAGTAAGATGCGCGGGTTGCACAATAGCAATAGAAGTAAGCTTCATACATAAACGTACATATTTGTATGGGCAACAAATATATATTAATATATGGAATTTTTTCCTCTAATAGGTTTTTTATATAGATTTTGCATATCTTTTTATACGCACATATATTTCATATGCGGAAATTCAATATATGTAGA